AGTTATGAAGTCATAGCTGTAGTTTAACAATGACTGAGAGTAACTGTAACATATTAAGTGGTGGCTGAACTAAAGATTTAAACACTGCGGCTGGTGAAGGTTAGCTGTCACTTTGATTAAAACAGTTTTTGACTGAAGCCTGGTACAATGTTGGTACGATCCTTGAACCTTCTCAGGTTGTTGACTGAATCCTCAAACCAAGGTTGAGTGTTTGAGTCCTGCGGGGCTGAAGCTGCTGGACCTTGAGCTCCTGGAGGCCGTTTGATCGGCCTGGTGCAGGTTTCATGGCCGTCCTCCGTTTCCATGGTCAAACAGAACGAGCGCCGCAGAACCCCCCTCCTTGTCCCGTCCAAAACTTCTGATCTGCTCAAGATAATTTAATGAAACTTCATACACATATGTATCATCACTAGACGGAGTGTCTTTAATCTTTTCACCACCCCAGCTCCAAGATCAAGGTCACAAATCAAGGTCAAACGTTCTACAAGGTCTTTTCTTGTCCAGCCGTTGCTGTGTTGTGTTGTAGATGGGCGCATCGGTGTTTCCCCTAGTTTACTTGCCTTGGCAGGGTGCTCATTTCTTCCATGACGTCGCCGGGGGGGTAAGATGGAGACACGTCTGTGTTGTGCTGTTTGCACCGACAGTTTTCGAGCGAGGGTGGTGGAGACGGCTCAGCGTGAGGGAAACAGAGCGCTACCTCTGGAGCTTTTAACTAACGCGTCTGTATTGCACACCGCTAGCTTAGCACTGCTTCAGTGCCGGTCGTTTCGGGGGGGGGCTCGGTTCTGTTGACAGGCGGGGCGCCGTGCTTGTATAATGTAGAGGAAACGCTGCGTATAATGAGCACACTCGGTCTTCAAAGGCAGAACTCCTATAGTAAAAGTGAAATGTTTCTTCAGTCCGACGGCGTTTAGTTCTCACTTCGGTGCCGGTCCAGACGGTCGGTTCTGACCCGGTGGTGTTACTTCTCACCAACAGGCCTTCAGGAAGTTCCTCCCTCTGTTCGACCGGGTGCTGGTGGAGCGCCTCACAGCGGAGACGGTGACGAAGGGGGGCATCATGCTGCCAGAGAAGTCCCAGGGCAAAGTTCTGCAGGCCACGGTGGTGGCAGTCGGACCGGGCTCCGTCAACCAGGTAACCTCCACACCTTCAATCACACCGTCCTGTACGAGCAGCACGGCACTGTGGTGCACGGCACTGTGGTGCACGGACGTCTCTGACTGAAGGAACGGTTTGTGTGGTTTGTTTCAGAAAGGTAACGTGCAGCCGGTCAGCGTGAAGGTCGGAGAGAAGGTGCTGCTTCCAGAATACGGAGGAACCAAAGTAGTTCTGGAAGAGAAGGTGAAGTCCGGCGTCGGGCTCGCTCCGTTTGGATTCAAGTGTTGTTCTGTTTAACACGTTTGTTTTATTCTTATTTGTAGGATTACTTCCTGTTCCGTGATGGAGACATCCTCGGCAAATACATGGAATGAGCCTTCGGTAGTTTCTTTTTTAGTTTTTGTTTAAAGTTCGTCATCGCTGCAGGAAAGAAATAAACTTTCTGTTTTTCTTTTTCACGTTTTACAAATTGTAAATAATTCTAACATTTTTGTTAAAATAAAGTCATACTCACAAGTGTTACTGCTTTTTTAAAGCTGGTTCTGTTTTTTAATCACATTAAACTGAGAAACTCGTGTGTTCAGTGAAGAACGTCGAGGTCGCACAGTGTCGTCAAAAGTTGAACGTCTTCCGCCTACATCGGTTTTATTCTATGTCTTTTGGGACTGGTTCTATTTCAGCAATGAACCGAAACGTTCGGCTCATTCAGGACAGTCCTCCGACTTTTGGTATTTGAGCAATTTCAATTTTTTCAAATCTTTAGCTTTGTCGGCCATGTTTTTCTCATTGAAAAGGAATGGAGCGTCCTTCGGCTGTTTACAACCATTCACTGCTCATTTCAGCTTTTAGAATAGAATAAAATAGAAACAGCCTTATTGTCCCACGGATGGGAAATTCAAGTATAACAGCAGCAAAAGATAAAAAGATTCCACACAAGTTCCTAAATGTTAAACAATACAATATATAAAGAAAGAAACTATCAATAATAATGATCAATTATAATAAGAATCTATAATAATAAAAATCAATTATTTTTATTCTCCTTTTAGCTTCTTTCTGCAATTTGCACCCATTTCTGCTTATTCAGCTACTTTTCAGATATTTTGCTAATTCCCATCTTCGGTGTTTTTTAAAATTTTCAACTTTTTCTGCTCTTTTCAGCAAAAAAAAATTTATAACTAGTTTTCTGTTGATTTATAGCTTTTTTATAGTCAAACTTCTTTCTGCTGATTTTATCTTGCTTGTGCTCTTTCAACAATTTTTTTGTTCTTGCTAATTTTAGCTTTTTGTGTTTTTCCAGCTGCTTTCAGCAAATGTTCAAATGCAGCTCACATTAACAGTTTAGCCTTTTCAGCATCTTTCAGCTAAAATAATCGTTTTCACAGGAAATTACGTTTCTCTGGTTTATTTTCAAACTGATTTAGACTAAACACAAGATAAGTAATGTTCTTGATTTTTTTTCCCAACTTCATAATAAATGCAGATGGTACAACGAGACAAATGGACAAATTAGGGATTGTACATTAATTCATGTAAAAGTTAATAAAACGATTAAAGTCAAAATGTGGAATTTCAAATAAACATGCCAGTTTTACTTTATTATTTGTGAAACAGAATTGACTACATATATTAAAATTCATGATAAAACTTCCCTGAATTGGACTTTTTCTAAAATCTGCATTGATGTTTAATTTTTGCCTGCATGATTAACAAATTATTCAATAATTCCTTTGGATTATTATTTTTTTTTTTGCTGTATAAAGATGTTTCCGGATAAACAGGAAAGTTTTCTACTTCAATAAAATAACCGTTAAAGAATTATTTTATTTTCACGTTTCATCCTATGCCCATTGAAAAGTGCTGTAGTCTTCATCCAGCTGTAAATTTACTCTTGTCCAGAGAACTTCTGATCCACTCATTTAATGAAACTAGACTGTTGCATACTTGTTTCATCCCCCAGCTCCAAGGTCATAAATCAAGGTCAAAGTGAAAACAAGGTCTTTACTCGCTACTGTGTTACTGACGGGTGTACCCTTAGGAACACGTATTTCTACCAAGAGACTCTGGAGTACAGTACTACTGGTGCTTGGGTCCGTGTTCAGTCTTGTGGGTCTGCCCAAAACCTTATTGTTACAAGGCTTTATTGTTTTACACAGACTCATTTATGAATTTAATTGCTGCAGTGCTTCGCACACTGTTTATTCCTGGTATATTCTCCAGTTTCTTTCATTGGTTTAACGATATTATGCACTATGGATAATAAAGGGTTTAGCAAACTTCTTGCAGATTGTCTTTTTAGGAACATTGCTTTTAAACAGTCGACATGTTTTCTTACTGGAGTCACTTGTTCATTCCTGATTTACAAAAATGCCTCCATGGGCATCATCATTTGGTTTTCTCATTTCAAAACTTGTTTCAAAAGCTTTGAAAAGCAGCTAAATTATAAAATTACTTAAAGTGTTGCTTCAACATTAGGTTTATGCAGTTTAAGTTGACAGCTGAATGTAAATGCTTGATATTTAGTTTTTATGTTTTCCTGCCTAGATGGCTCTTCATTTCAAGGTTTGTATTTTTATGACCATTTTGAACAGTTTTATGTTTCGTATTTTCTTGTCACTTTACAATGTGCACTGTTTTTGTGGTTAGAGTTTGTCTTTTACCCAATAACTACACTGAGAGTTAAAAATCTCTCCTGCTTCTGGAGCTTTCTCCGCCGTGATGAGGACCATCCGGAGAAAGAGGCGCCATCTTTCGGCTTGTGAGCGAATCGTTTCCGGTCGGCTCGCGAACATCCGGGTATTCTGTCGAGATGGTCATGGCGGAGGGTGCTGCAGTTCTCAGGAGGAATCGGCCTGGAACCAAGGCTAAGGTTCGGTTCTGACCTGCAGGGACGCTCCACTGTTTCTGTCAGAGGTCCAGCGTCTGGACCAAGCCGAACTACCGAAGGCCACGCTTATTTTACCGGCAGTTCGGTTCAGATCCGAGCCGAACCTGGACGTTTACAATTAGCTGTCGTTAGCTAGTGACACCGTCTACTTGCTGGAGTAACCTTAATCTAAATAAATGTCGTTGTAGTATTATTATTGTTGTTATTATTTTAACTGAAATTGACTTTAAAAATGGTCGGGTTTTATAATAATCAATGTCATGCAGTTGAAGTGTGTTCACACACTTTTGTCGAGTTGTGTGTCGAAATGTTTTTTTTAGCTTTCCAGGAAGTAGTCGTACTCGACAAACGGTGTCAAGCTAACTAGCTCGGTAGCCTCGTAGTTTTAGCTAAGCTATAAAAACCCAAACGTTTAATTAAAGTTAAAACATTTTTGTGACAGAGAGCAACTACCCCACACAGACTTGTCTGCAGACAACAAACACTGTTTTACTTGAGAATGAATTGTTAGCTCTTTTCTAGCTAGCCCTGGTTAGCGGCCTGCCCTGCTGTAAACACAGATCTGACCTTCCTGTGTGCAGGACTTCTACAACTGGCCGGATGAGTCGTTTGAGGAGATGGACAGCACGCTGGCTGTTCAACAGGTGAGTTACACTGAATACCTGCTGCTGTTCAGGTGTGAGGTAACTGCATCCATATAGCTCCTTTTTGTTGTTTCCTGGCAGCTGCATTTCTAACATCCTTCTACCACTGTCCCTCCTCTGGACGTGTCCAAACCACTGTCCCTCCTCTGGACGTGTCCAAACCACTGTCCCTCCTCTGGACGTGTCCAAACCACCGTCCCTCCTCTGGACGTGTCCAAACCACCGTCCCTCCTCTGGGCGTCTCCAAACCATCTCAGTGTGTCCTCTGTAACTTTAGCTCCCAGGTGTTCGACCTGTGCTGGACCTCTGATGATCTCATCCCTGATCTTGTCAATCTTTGTTACACACGAGGAGAACCTCAACATCTTCATTTCTGACACTTCCAGTTCTGTCCCTTCCAGTGTTTTTGTCATCCAGCTTGTTGGTTATTAGCCTTTTCTCATTAAAGAGTTATAAACCCACTCAACTTTAACACATGTCAACAAAATAACTACATATTTTAGTTTTGTATTATCTCTGAAGGTAGCCGTAAGAAAAAGTAGTGCCTGCTTGGAACTGTGTTTGTGTATTTCTGTCGCAGTACATTCAGCAGAGTATTCGATCGGACTGCTCCAACATTGACAAAATCCTGGAGCCTCCAGAGGGTCAGGATGAGGGCGTGTGGAAGTACGAGCACCTCAGGTAAAAGTCTTTGGCAGTTAAAGTCATCTTTGTACATCTAATGTTTCCCCTAGGTTACTTGCCTTTGGAGGGCACTCTTCCGTTTATTTTTTATTTTGTGACCGCTGACTTCAGTAAATAAATGCTGTAAATAATCCTGTTTGTAATGAGACACACAAAAGTTTTGTCTTTTTACAAATAGCATCTGTCATCGTGTTTTTACCACGTCCTGACAGGACAGTAGCTCATCGGTGGACCGACTCTCGTCTGCCAGCGCCGCTAACAAACACTGTCGCCTTCAAAGTAAAAGCACAGCAAAAGCCAATTTCAGTTTAAAAGCATAGATTTGGGATTTTTGTGCCGAATGATTTATATTCGTGGATTGAAATGAAGTGTGTTGTCTGTGAGATCTGTACGTATTGGTTCAGCTCGTTCTGTTTCTGTGCAGAAGGTTCTTTTTAGTCTTTCAGCTGTGAAGTGTTTGTTAATCCTGCCCCAGATGTGCTCGGCTCTAGAAAAGATCCTCAGATATTTGTTTGTTCTGCAGGCAGTTCTGTTTGGAACTGAACGGACTTGCTGTAAAACTGCAGGTAAGTTTTACATTTTCTCTTCTGACGACGCTTAAAGTTTGCACGTGTTGCTCCAGGAAACAAAACAACTTATTTCAGTCGTCATTCCTGTAAACTAACAATAAATAACCAAACATGGCAAACACTGTTCGTTTCCTGGTTCATCACTATTGCATATTAATATTTATTTAGTTTTAAGAAACGTTTGCATATTTATGTCTAATCCTGTTGTAAGTGATTTATTTGCAGGTAAACAACAGAATCACTTTGTTTAACCTATTAAACTATATATATATATATATATATATATATATATATATATATATATATATTACACATGTCCTGATGCCAAAGTCAGAACACCCTGTCCTCTAATAGCAGGTTTTTCTCTCTTTGGCTTTTTGTAGCACAGGGCTATTCAGCTGGTGGCCCGGGGCCCAACTCAGGCCCACGGGTGAGCTCAGTTCGACCCACCAATGGGTTAATTTTAAAATAAAACTATATTTTTAACCATAAAACAAACTTACTTGATGAGCAGTAGCTGCTGCATGTCCGGCCCCTGAGCTCTTGACTTTCAGTAACTGTGGCCCCTGAGCAGTTTAGTTGAATAACCCTGTTGTAGGTAAACCAGTCTGACATGAGTCTGAGGAAAGTTTGTCCCACTCCTCAATACAGAGGTGTTTCAACTGTGACACTTGAGGATCCCCCCCACCCCCCACCCCGGTACCCGATAAGAAAGGGCAAGAATATTTAAAGTTTTAAAATAATTCAAACGGATTCTAAAATGGATTAACAGCCGATGAAGAGATCATAAAATGGGATATTGTGCTTAAACTTCCTTGTGCCTGTTTGGGGTGGCTGTGGTTGAGTGGTTAGAGCAGTCATCCTCCAATGGGAGGGTTAGTGGTTCAATTCCACCTTCAGTCACATGTTGAAGTGTTCCTGAGCAAGACACTGAACCCCTCATGACTCTGATGTGTGTCCCATCGGTGCATGAATGTGATAAAGCTCTGATTAATCTCTACAGATTCACATGATCTTTGTAGAGATGTAGTAGAGCGCTGTGTGTGTGTGTGTGTGTGTGCGCGCGCGCGCGTGTGCGCGCGCGCGCGTGTGTGTGTGTGTGTGTAGAGGTAAATGAGGCACAGATTGTTGTAAAGAGCTTTGAGCATCTTGATCAGATAAAAAGGAGTTGTATAAGTACAGCCCATTTACCGTTTAAAAATGTTCTGCTGTGTTTTGCACCATCTGTGAACGGGCCACAGCTAGCCCCCCCCCCCCCCCCCCACACACACACAAACACTCCCACACACACACACACACAACATACTGAGCATTACAGTAAGGCAGATGAATTTTAAGAACTGGCCCTATTTTAGCCAACTGTCTCCTGTTCTTCCGGCAGCCCGTAGTGGTTTTACTGGTGTGTTTTGGGATGTTGTCATGTTGCAGATTATTCTTTTAGTTATTACAAATGTTCCCGTAACGCCCTCAAGAGATGCAGCAGAAATGCTGGATTAGATGAAGGTGAGCTGCACAGGTCCTCCATGACTCCTCCACTGCCGTGTTTCACAGTGAGGATGAGGTTCTTGTGTTTGCTGTCAAACATTTGTTCAGTTTTGGTGTCCAATAATTCATTTTTACACTCACCTGTCCGAGGAGCATTTTTCCATAAGTCCTGTTTTTTGTTCTTGTTCTCAGTCGGACCTTCGAGGTTTGTTAGTGAGCAGAGGTTTCGTCCCATGACACTTTGAGTCTCCGCAGTTCAAGAGCTGTAGATCACGTGACGACATTCTAGTCTTTCTGGAGACCTTTAAGTGTCTTGCGGTCTGCTCTTGGTCAGCCAGGTGTGAGCACGTATTTCAAACGTCCTCCACTTGTTGACTGTTTCCTGGATGGTGGAATGGTTGGTGGCACATCGTGTTGAGATCGTTTTAGACTCATAAGCTGCTCCCGACGGCCCCGGGCTCCTCAGAAATCATCAACAGTAAACAGAAAACCCAGCTGGTGTTTCAGGAACGTTCTGTAACGTTTGTCTTGTGGCCTGCAGAGCGAGTGTCATCCTGACACCTGCACTCAGATGACGGCCACAGAGCAGTGGATCTTTTTATGTGCTGCCCACAAGACGCCCAAAGAGGTGAGTCCAGCTCTGTTACTGCTGACGGTTTGTGGAAAAGTTGCTGTTGCTGACCGATGTGTGTTGCTGCCGTGACAGTGCCCCGCCATCGATTACACCAGGCACACGCTGGACGGAGCTGCCTGTCTTCTCAATAGCAACAAATACTTCCCCAGCAGGTCAGTTCACCAATTTCATCTGGAAATCTACCGTTCCTGTGAGACCCCCAGTCTCACTTTTCTAATTTAATCTGCAGTCGTTCATTTTAGAAGGTAATTTCTAAAATACCTCGTACGCGCGCTGCTCTGTAGACCGTTAAAGGAGACCTTCTGCAGTGGTTTTTACAGCTCCGGTCCTAGAGGGTGAAGCGAGACGCTCCTCCACCCCTCTGTTGTGGAGAGTCTGCTTTGATCGGTCTCACGGCTTCTGGGTTATCGTGCAAATACAAAACCAAACACAAACTAGACAAATGTCACTTCCTGGGAAAATGCAGAGTAAATGCTTATTGTTTAATGATTTTAGCTGAAAGCTGCAGAAGAAGCTGAAAAGGCTTCATTGTTAAACAGTTGATGTGAGCTGAAGTTTAACAGCTGATATTTACTGAAAATAAAACAAAAATGAGCAGAAGAAGCTGAAATAGACAGAAAGTGACTGAATAATTATTTAAAAACATCTGAAAGTAGAAAAAAATGACCAGGAAAAACACTGACAATAGCAACAAAAAAAGCAGCTGAAAAAGCTGAAATTGTCAGAAAGAGGCTGAAAAATGCATAAAAGGTAGAAATTATTTAAAAGAACCTTAAAAGGCTGAAATGAGTTTTTAAAAAGAAGTATCTGGAAAAGCTGATTTTAGCTAAAAGAGGCGGAACGAAACAGAAAATAGCACAAAGAAGCTGAAATGAGCAGTAACGGGTTATAAACAGCTCAAAGTGTTTTGAAGGATGTGAAGAGAGCTCCATTCACTTTCAATGAAAAAAACATGGCAGACAAAAGTAAATATTTAAAAAGTTAAAATTGCACAAACACCAAAATTCACAGCAGGAATGTCCTGAATGAGCCGAATGTTTTGATTTGTAAAATATTGAAATAGCACAAACATTCAGGAACGGGTTACGTGCCGATGAAAGTTACGCAGGACAAATGCATCAACGGGGAGAATGTTTTAGAAACATTTTCATCTTTGTTCAAAGAAGCAGCATCTGGTCTGAGCTCAGTGTTACTCAGAAAACTGATAGAAAGAACAGCTAAAGGAACAGCTAAAGGATCCGTAAAGTGGGTCAGTCAGCTCATCGTTGGTCTTGTTGAAGCTTTAATGAACTTCCAGCCGAGTCTTCAATGACACTTTGACTCTATGGCTCTATTTAAAACCTTCTGATGTTCAGCATGAAGAAGGAAAGCTGTGAGGTCTCGGCCTCTGAAATAACTAGAAGCTGACGAGTCGAAAAGAAAAACTAAAAGTCCAACCAATAAAAGTTGTTTCTGTTTAGTTTCAACAGAATGAATTGAATAAGAGAATGAAACGGGCCATGATGAGGAAGATGGCACCCCTCGAAGAGATTTGACCACATGTTAAACTAGTGTCCTGTAGTCGGCATCAATCAGCCTGCGTGTTTAAAGAGTGACAGGTAGTCACAGGGCTGTTCTGTGTTGAGGTGTGCAACAAATTGAAGCTGGAGCTCAGGACAGAGCTGTCTCTGGAGCTTAGAAAGGAAAAGGATTGAGCAGCATGTTGCACATTATTCAGACCTTTGTGTTTTTCATTTGTTCTTAAACCACGCGATGCAAACGGGTTTCTAGGTTCCTCACTGACTGTTAATCGCTGCCGTCTGTCTGCGTCTGCAGGGTGAGCATCAAGGAGTCATCGGTGGCCAAGCTGGGCTCCGTTTGTCGTCGCATCTATAGGATATTCTCTCATGCTTACTTCCATCATCGTCAGATATTTGACAAGTACGAGGTGGGTTTGAACCTCCCAGCTACTCGCATACTCCCACTGATGGGTCCAAAATTAACGGTTGTTCCTTTCTGCTGCTCAGTCCAAGCATCCGTCTTCTAATCCAGTTACTTACAGTTTGAACCAGTCTAATAATAAATGTGTCAGTTTGATGGTTGGCAACTGTCCATGGAAGAGAAGTTTGAAATTTGCTGCCAAACTGTTCTCAGACCTGAACAGTTGTACCAGCTACATGCTGGATTACATGATTAAAAGACGGTCAGAACCCAATTCAGACTGATAATCTGTCTGTCTGGGATGTTAGATTAGGATTAGGGGTCGATTGAGGCACTCTTGGATCCCTGACCAGTCGAAGCAAGCGTGACCTGTGACGTCAGTAGAACGTGCACATCTTTATGACTTGAGGAACAAAGTAAGACCAGGTTTGGTTTTTGGTGCCTGAACTACCTGGAGAGGACTTTTTGATCAGCTGAATCAGTCCGGGGGGGGGGGGGGGGGGGAACTGTGGTGTGGAGGTAGGGCAGCTGACTAATCACAGGTTCAACTCCCAGCCATTCCCACGTCATGGTGTCCTTGAGCAAGACACCTACTCTCTAATTCCTCCCCGGGCGCTACATAGCTGCCCACTCTCCACCTGGGTGTGTCTCAGGTGTGATGGGTTAAATTCAGAAGAACTAATTTAGTCATTGAGTGGAAACATGTAATGATGACAACACAGCCCTTTCTTCTTGTCTTCTTCTGAAAGAACATCGTTAAAAAAGGAAGATGTCTCTTAACAAATCCCTGTAAACTTTGTTTTTTTCTGGCTGATGTTTACGTGACTTTAAGGTCAAACATCTTAAATGAACTCTTGATGGATGATTGTTTCTGCAGAACGAGACGTTCCTGTGTCACCGGTTCACCCGCTTCGTGATGAAGTACAACCTGATGTCCAAGGACAACCTGATCGTCCCCATCCTGGAGGAGGAGGTGCAGAACGCCTCGTCAGCCGGAGAGAGCGAGGCCTAAAGCTGCTGCTGCTGCAGGACTCCCTCATCCACACCGTACAGAGGAGACGCACTCGTTCTGCAGAAATACACACATATATACACACACTACAGTGTATTAAGGCTTCTGTCTCAGACATTGTCCACCCCCCACCCCCCCGCTCTCCTGTGTCTTGTAAAGCTACCAGGAGCCGAGCTCAGCCTGCAGGACAGTCTAAACTGTCCCCGACTCAGCGTGTCCACAGGAAGCTGCTGCGTCACGCCGGCCGCTTTTAGCCTCCATCGAGTTTTAACGTCTCGTTAAAGTGATTTAAAAACATTTTAGCTGCACGTCGACGAGCTGCTGACACACAAACCTGTTTATGAACGGCTGTTTCTGCTTTTCATAAAGAATGAAAACGTTTTGTTCAATAAATCAGTTAAAGTAGAAATCCTCCAGGATTAAATTTTCCAAATATTTGAGACGTCTGTGTCTGTTCAGCACCTGAGCTCGATTCCTCTGCAGTCTGATTTATTTGACTCCTTTTCTCCTCTGGATGTAAACAGAGAAAAGTATAAAAACTTTTCTTTCTCCAGACTTTGTCCCCGTTTCAGGTCCAAAATGTCCTCAAACCAGCAGAGACTTTTACATTAAATATAAATTTAAATAAACGAGTCTTTGCAGCAGCAGCATCTGACATGGAAGCTGCTTAAAATGAGAAATGGATTCAAAGATTCCATAACTGCAGGTTATTCATAGTTATTTAATGTTTTTCCCCACTCCAAACAAAAACATCATTTTACCAAACGAACATAAAAACTCAGAACATTTATCGTAAAGAAAACGCTCAAGAACTTCTGCACGATTGTCGTCATCCATCTGGATGCAGGTTTTGTTGGAGGTGGGAGCTCGCAGAAGACACACTTAACATGTAAACTTTACAGTTAACGTGTAAACTTTACAGTTAGCTTGAAAACTTTACAGTTAACGTGTAAACTTTACAGTTAACGTGTAAACTTTACAGTTAACGTGTAAACTTTACAGTTA